ATAAGGCAAGAATGGAAAAATGTGCATTGCAGAAGTTCTGTGACAAATGGGCCTTATGATGTCTGGGTTATTTCTAGAGTAGAAGAAATCCACAGGGTTAGACATTATGATGGATCTTCTTTTATAGTTGCTGGAGAAACACCCCACCCACTCACTGTCCCCAGAGGACATTCTGGATTCAAGACTGGCAATCCATACTGAAGAGCATCTCTGAATAACGTGTTTTTATGAAGAATAGCCACCTGGCATCTCTGGGGGTACTGACAACAGGATAATTCAGCAAAAGAGAAGAGGCTGGATGCGAGTGTAATTTCTCTGAAAAGCATCTGCCTTAGATGTGCCAGGTTTCATGTCCTGGGACAGTGGAAGGAAAGTGGGAACTGACATTCCCTGCTGGGCCTCTGAAGGCCCCAAAGTGCAATGTTGAAAATTTGGGTTTGGGAATCTGGAGTTTGAGTTCAGTGATCTCACAAGTCTCCTTTGAAATTGCCAGTGTTGTATCACTTCCAGACCTTTGTAAACCAGATTTCAGGGTTCAGTTGACCAACCACACACAGGCCATGCCTGGCAGGATTAGCATGGTGTTAGTTTTCACCTTCTTTAAAATACAGAACAAATAGTTCATTTATTGAGCAAACAAGCAAACTGTTTTCTTCTGGCTGCTTCTCCTGCTGCCTGATGATGCTCATCTGTAGTGAAATAAGTATTAGACATAAATCCCAATAGAAAAAATCCCACATCTTTTCTTAATAATGCTGCACATTTAGTCAAATTATTTAAAAGATTCCAGATGCTTAATCTGTTGCTAATATGTTCATTCTTATTTAGACGTAAATGAAATTGCTTTGTTTCTGCAAGAATGATTTTGTTGTATTATTCACATGAATACATAGTCTTAGTTCTGTTATGATTCTATAGGTTTTTTGGCATTTCTACAGACATGCAAAAAGTGACAGTGATGCATTTTAGGTACTAGGTGATGCAGGAACTGGTATCTGAGACATCACATATTTCCTTTATTCCCTCAGCTAATGCCAGAGAACAAAGTTTTGTGAGCTGCTGATTTGGATGGACTCTTGGGCTGATATTAATAGGTCTGAGCCTCTGGGTAGTCAGGGAACATGGAGCTCTAATGCATCTGAGCAATCATTTTGTTAGGATGGTGTCCAGGTTGCAAGACTTTATAGGGTTAGCACTTCTGGTTTTTTGGCCTGATACCAAGTGACCGGATGCCTTTGATTGCTGATTAAGGATTTTGACTTATTGGAAGGCATATTTACTTGCCTGTAAGGTCTGTGGATCAGTTCTTCTTGCTTTGTCTGTTTGTGTCAAGGACACAAGTTATCTGTTTGTTGACTCAGGACGTCACACTTCTCAGCTGGAGGTTAAGGGACAGGTTTCTGCTGGGTTTGCTACTTGTGTCATGCGAAGATAGAACCACGTATTTATGTGTGACCACACCTCTTGTTGCATCCTAGCAGCAATTGCTGATAGGATTTGGTCTACTTCAATCTGTAATTTCTCTTCCTGGTAATTTGAGGAAAATACATGAACTTTATCAGTATTTTAATTTTTTTCTGAAGAGCAGGGAAAAGAAATAGAAAAAGTTCACAGTAATTAAACTGAGTTTCAGACCACAAAGGTCATAGGCATTACAGAAGAAATAATATGCAGGAATTAAGCTTAGAAGGAACCCATGAAGACATCTAGTTCCTGTACTGTGCCCTAAAGCAGGACCAGCTATACCCAGTGTCATGTTTGCCAGATGTTTGAGCTGTTCTTAAAAATCTTCAGTGATGAGGATGCCACAGCCTTCTTATGGAACTTGTCCCAGGCCTTACCTATGCCTGTTTGAAGGATCAAAAGATTTACTGTTCTGAGGATTTTCTTTATGTCCAATCTATGTTTTCCTGGTAGTATTTTAACCCCTGCTTATTTTTGACCCATATCAGCAACAGAAATGAAGACTGTTTATCCATTTTCTTTACATACCTTTTTTTCAAAATACTTCTTTGCTTTAATTTTGATATAATCTGATTTACTTTATTACCCGAGTTATAGAATTTCACTAAATGAATCCTACAACAAATCCATAACAACTGATTGAACTAAAACAAATCAAAATTTAGGAAAGCATATGGCCTTGATTTCAAAAATGCAAATAATGGAGAATTCCTCAGTATTTCTAGATTCCTAAGATCTTTTCTCCCCCATCCCTTGTCTCTGCACGTGTACTAGTGAGCAATGCATGTTCTATCAAGGGTGAGAAGCAAACAGGTTATCTGTTTTTTGAACAAGGCCACGAATGTAGAATGAAAGATGAATGTGAGGTCTCTACACAAGTTCTCTCTGCCCTAGTACTGCCTTTCTTCCCATTTACTCTTGGCTAACAATGACTGTACTACACAACGCTACAATCTGGGGAGGCTTTATTTGGGGATTATTTTCTCTCATTGGACAACATGACAATTTTCTTTGTGTGTAAGTAAATGACACTGTGAAGCTCCAACATTTCAGCAGATGCCTGTCAGAGGTCTGGTTGCCTAAGTCACTAGCTACTTCGCTAAAACTTCCTCTGAAGACAAACCAGCAGTGTAGGTGGTCTAGGTCCTATCTGTTACCTTCATTTCGGCCACATATCGTGTTAGTCAGAGGAATGAGACAGGTGATTCTGCCCCTCTGCTCTGGTGAGACACTGCTTGGAGTGCTGCATCCACCTCTGGGGTCCCCAGCACAGGAAGGGCAGGAACATGTTGGAGAGAGTCCAGGGGAGGCACCAAGATGATTGGAGCGATGGAACACCTCTCCTATGAGGAAAGGTTGAGAACTGAGACAACTGGGTTTGTCCAGTGTGTAGAAGAGAAGGCTTTGGAGTGACCTATTTGCAGCCTTCCACTACCTGAAGGAAGCCTACAAGAAAAATGGAGAGAGACTATGAACAAGGGCCTGGAGTGACAGGGCAAGGGGGAATGGCTTCAGACTGACAGAGAGTATATTAGGATTAGATATTGGGAAGAAATTCTTTCCTGTGAGGGTGGTGAGACACTGGCACAGTCTGCCCAGAGAAGCTGTGGCTGCTCCATCCCTGGAAGTGTTCAAGACCAGGTTGGATAGAGCTCTTGGCAACCTGACCTAGTGAAAGTTGTCCCTGCCCATGGCAGGAGGATTGCAACCAGATAATCTTTAAGGACTCTTCCAATCCAGGCCAGTCTATGATTAGGTCAGATTTGTGTCAACAGAGAATTCCCACAAATCCCTGCAATCTTCCCTTGGATGGTGTCTCCCTTGAAAATCTTCCAGCAGTCCAATGCAAAGTATTTGTGGCAACTGAGAGGATCAGTCTGCATATTTCTGGGAACTTTGAGGAAATACTACATCAATGAGTTCACACTGTTTTCCAGAAAATAAACTTTCTCTCTTAACTTTTGCAGAAATTTGATTATAGCATAGGGTTAAATGCAAAATTCCATATTACCATAAATGCTCTGTGATCTTTGGAATGTAGTCAGGATGGTGGCAGAACAGGAAGAGATGTAGATAAGTGCCATTTAGATGGCAGTGTTATGTTCTATGCTCTGCTGTAGGAGCTCTGAGTCTTTTGCACAGGCCAGTGCATGGGTGATGATGCCCCAGGATGCAAAAGGCATTTCAGTAGTCTAAAACCACAGAAGGTGCATGGGAATAAAATGTTGCACAAGAAGCTTTCCTTGCAGCCTTATCTCTGATTGGAAGGTCTCTTGTTCTATAAAGTATTTCTGTCTTTGCTCTGATAACTTGGCTAAATGGCCAAGTTTATGAATAATTTCAGTAACAGGATCTTGTCCACTTTCTGCAACAACACCAGAAGTTAAGAAAATATTAGCTTGGTATGAGGTGTTATAGCAAGTCTCTGAGGGAAATGGAACATCAGGAACCACTCTATTTGACTCATGACTCTTTCTAGAGATCCTCTTGGTGCCCTTATATCCAATGATCTTGGTGATCCTTTCTCTAAAACCAGAAATAGCACAGGTAGTGTCTGCTCAAGTCCGTGCTCATTAATGGAATACATGTACCTGTACTATTCTTGCCTTCCCATGCAGATTGTGCATGCTTTAAAATACTAATCTCTTCACTACCAGTGAGGATGAACCAAGTATAAATTGCTACCATTTCTTTCCTCTTCAGATTCATTTTCAGACAATAAGTCATTGCTCTCCAAGAAACTATTTAATATCACTTTGCTGTTTCTAATTATGTTCCTAGTGGTATCAGCCTTAATTTGTCCCACTTGAATCTCATTCTATTTCATGCTTGTATTTCTGACTTCTCAAAAGCCTGGTATTTAAATCTCTGTTCTCTTCACTGTTCACAACCTTTCCTAATTTAGTATCCTTTGCAAATCCAATTGACATGACTTGAAGAGTCGTTGCTATGTTAAATGTAGGATAAACAGAGATACTGATCTTTGACTTAGATACCACCACATAGTTTCATATACATATTGCCACCACTTCCAGCACCTTTTTGGTATGGGTCTACAGAAATTTGTGCTGTTGATATCCCTACTCCATTTTTTGCTAATAGAAGGAAAGAATCAGAGAAGCATTTTCAAAAAAATGAAATGTGAAGCATTGATACCCACTGTTTCCAATTTTGCCAACTTGTTTTATATTAAAACCAACTGAAGCATTTCAAAGCAGCTTTCAATAGATCTGCATTTTGCTGCCAACTAGCATCACAACTATTTCTTAAGAAAGAAAAAAAAAAGGGGATGGAATATCTGGGATGCTGGTGGGAAGTAGTTCCCTGGAGATCTTTGTGTGTTTCCTACACTGTTTTAGCATGTATATACAATTTGAATAAATATTACCTAATTCAGTCTAGTGTATGAGTAGTGATTATTTCCCTGTTTGGAAATGGGAAAGGATTTGGAATTAGATTGCTAGGAACCTTTGCTCTCCATTTATATTTAGATCTGGGAAATCTAAAAAACTTAGTATGAAGTTGTTGTTGGCTTAGTTGAAAGCAGTTAAGATGTGCTTGTCAATTTAATATCTCTACCTCCTTGTGTTGAAAAAAAAACCCACCAAAAAAAAAAATCAAGTGACCAGGCATTGTGATTCGGTGGTTTGAAACTCCAGCTTTGGGAACACTGGGAAGTATTTTACTTCATGAGAAAGTGACTGCCAATTGTATAATGTCAGAAATGTGTAGAGTTGTAAAAAAAAAGTTAGATTTGAAATTACATTTTGAAAAAATGAAAATGGATAGAAACACTGATGGTTCGAATGCCTTGACATCACTGTTTTCAAAAGTCTCAAGATAATGCTAATAGTGTCATAATATGTATTTCATTACTCTTTCTACCTCATTAATCTTTGATTTCTGTCT